CCCCGGCCTTCCTCCCCGTAAGAACAGGCCAGACAAACTCCTGCTGGGGGGGGGCTACGTTTGGTCCTGCCTCCGCGTGGGGGGTGGGCTGGACCTCTTAGAGTCTCTTCCAGACCCAATTCCTCTGATTCCAAGTGGCAGAGAGAGGTGGAGGAAGGAGCTGGAGCTGCCCCCGGCTGATTTTAGGTTTTGGGTGGAGGCTGAATGGGTCACGGAGGCTGAGCTCCCTTCTGGGCCCTACAGTTGGGGGCCGAGGATCCCCTTGCTTTGGAAGTGCAACATGTCGTCAGGGGGCCTGCCTGTCAGCACTGTGCCCACCCCGAGGATAGATAGTGGCATCCAGTCTCCAGAGAGGTCAGCCTGGATCCTCCAGGCTCTGACTGGGGTTGTCTTGGGGCTGTGCGTGCCATCCCAGACTTTAAATAGGCTGCCTCCTTTCGCCGGCATGGTGATCAGGAGCATGCGGCCGTTGAATGAGGTTCCAGTGAGACAGGATGTATTTTGAGCTGGTGACAGGGGAGGGGACCCAGTAACACAGATCCAGCACTTCTGTGCCGAGCTTTTCATGCCAAGGAGACGCCAGGATGCTTAGGGACAGCATGTCCTTTAATGCCCTCTTCTTCATTCCCGACAGTGCTCTAGAGGGTCCAGCAGAGGGTAACCAAAATGCTAAAGGGGTTGGAGCGCATGACCTACGAGGAGAGGCTGAGGGAGTTGGGTCTGTTTAGTCTGCAGAAGAGAAGAGCGAGGGGGGATTTGATAGCAGCCTTCAACTTCCTGAAGGGAGGTTCCAAAGAGGATGGAGAGAGGCTGTTCACAGTAGTGACGGGTGGCAGAACAAGGAGCAATGGGCTCAAGTTACAGTGGGAGAGGACTAGGTTGGATATTGGGAAAAACTTTTTTCCCTAGGAGGGTGGGGAAGCCCTGGGATGGGTTCCCTAGAGAGGGGGTGGAACCTCCATCCCTAGAAGTGTTTAAGTCTCGGCTTGATAAAGACCAGGCTGGGTTGATTTAGTTGGGACTGGTCCAGCCTTGGGCAGGGGGCTGGACTTGATGACTCCTGTGGTATCTTCCAGCTTTAGGATTCTAGCTAGGAGGAGTCTCTACCCTAACCCTCTGGCAGAAAGGGGGTTGACTGATGGTAGGGCTTTACAGGAAGCCGTGTTCCTCCTCTCTGCCTCTGCTTTGTATCGCCGTCCTCCCGGCTCACGCTCGTGAGTTGGTGAAACAGCTCTGTCTCCAGGTGCAAGCGGGTCTGTGTGACACAGCGGGGGCAGCGAATGGCCCTGGCCCCCTCCCTCAAACTAGCCCATTAGGCAGGCATCAATCCTCAGTTCTTTGCCCCCCGCTGGGCTGAGGCTGAAGCAGACCCCCAGCTATGGGCGTTTCTTTTGAAACGACCGTCACCGGGTCAGTGGCTCCAGATGAGAAAATCTTCCATTGGAGAGAGGAGTGGGGCTGGTTGTAAAAACAAAACCCAGACAAAGGCAGGTCAGGTCTGGGCCCGGCTGGTCTGAAACCTTGGTGCTCATGGCAATCCGTTTGTAGGCCATCTCTAACGAGTGCTGCAGGCAGCCCTGATCTTCCAGGTGCTCTGAAACTCCACTGTGCTAAGATTAGTAGTATTACAGGAGCACTGAGGGGCCCTGGGTAAGATGCATTTCTCCCCAGGGCCATGCATGCACATCGGCCCGCTCAGAGCATACAGTCCTAATAGGCAAGACAGTCAAGGGCTGGGAGAAAGGCTGTATTAGAATCATAGAATAATAGGACTGGAAGGGACCTCGAGAGGACCTCGTATTACTCCTCCATTTCACAAGCAAGGAAGCTGCAGCGTCCAGCGAGTTAGGGTGGGATTGTCGAGAAGCCCTAAGCTGGTCAGCCAACATCTTGCTGATTTCCGAAAGGAGCTCAACCCCTTTGAAAAAAATGCTGTGGCTTGCCTGCCGTCACACAAGCAGCTGGTAGCACATCCAGGGATTAAGCCATGTCCCCAAAGTCCTAGTCTAGCGCTCCTAATTTCCTTGGGCGCAACCTTTCTGCACAGTGGATCAGAGGAACCGTGTGGGATCTGAATTCCCCAGAGGTCTCCTTGTGGGCTGGATTCCTTGTATTGGCAGAGCCTTTGATTCACTCTTCAGTGATACCCTGCAACTTTCCTAAGGCCAGGGTTCAGCTCAGTTCACTCTGTTTTTGTTGAGATTTCACTAGCTGATGTTTTCTTGGTGCTGTATAGTATTATTATTATAATATGTTGCTTTTCCTGTGCAGATGTTGCTGGAAAAAAAAAACCCACTGGCGGAGTTCATGGCCTCCCCCTGGCAGAGTCCAGAGGATGGAAATTCAAACTCATTATATATCTATTATATATAGTCCTGCTTCTCTGCCTCTCTGTCTTCCACAAAGAGGAAAGTTTGGGTCCTTCCAGCACAGCTGTGTTGGAATCCCAGCGTCCATAGGGACCTTGTACGATTAGCTCTTTCCAGTCCTCGCAGTAGGCTCATTTCGTGGTCGCATCTGGGGTTCTCACACTGAGATGCAAACAATGCCACCCACATCAGATGGTCACCTGATCGCTACAGCTTGAACCCTGGCCGCTTTTGCTAGTTGTGTCTCGCAAAGAATACCTCCATCCCTGAGTAACATCCCTTCTCTCCTAGATGCTCCAGTGGGTTTGACCGATACCGTGAGGAGTGGCTGTCGCATGGCTGTGGCCAGGAGGTGAGATCCAGTGCAGGGTTATTTCCCTTGTGATGACACCAGTGTCCCTCAGCATCCCAGAAAAGGTGGAGTCTGCTCCACCTCTCTCTCGTGGTGAGCGATTTAGGGAGCATCTGGAATTCTCACTTGGACCGTTAGTTCACAGACCTGTTGGTAGCCATTTGGCTCCTGAGACAGGGTTGAATGGCTTATGCCGCAGACCACAGGAAAAGAGGCCCAGCCCTCCAGAGATGAAGACTCAATGAGCTCTACATGGTCCGTAAGAACGTACGGACTGCCATTCTGGTACAGAGCAGTGGTCCATCTGGTCTGGTATTATCCCTCCCTGCTCCACCAGCAACTGATCCATTTTGACCCGTATCTCACCTCCCTGCCTTAGTGGAATGATGGACGGTCCCTATGGGCTAGTATTCTGCCTTCTTGCTATACTGGAAGACACCACCGGTCCTTCTAATCTGGTGTCCTGTCTCTGGCATTGGCCAATTCTGGATGCTTCAAAGAAAGGTATTCTGAAAGCCTCCAGAAAGCACTTGAAGGTGAAATCCCATTGAAGAGATTTCTTCCTGAACCTCTGGAGTCGGGGTGGCCAACCTGTGGCTCTAGAGCCACCTATGGCTCTTCTGACATTAACATGCGGCTCCGTGCTCAGGCACTGACTCCAGGGCTGCAGCTATAGGTGCCAACTTTCCAGTGCTCAACTCCTGGCTCCACCTCCTCCTCCTCCAAACGTATTGCGCCCTCACTCCTTCCTTCCGCCACAGAGCTTCCGGAGGGCCATGAAACAGCTGATTGCAGTGGGAAGGAGGCGCGGGGAATAGGGTTGCCACGTGCCCGGTATTAGTCTGGACAGTCCAGTATTTGTGGCTTCTGACTGGTAAAAACCCCCAGAAAATACCAGCAACCCTAGCAGGGAAGGAAGAGGAGGCACTGGTTGGTGGGGCTGCTGGTGGGCAAAAGATGCTGGAGACGGCAGAGGAGGCATCCGATGGGGACTGCTGAAAAATTACTGTAGCTCTTTGGCAATGTACATTGGTAAACGATGGCTCCTTTCAGGCTCAGGTTGGCTACACCTGCTCTGGAACATCATTATTATCTACCCCGGGGCATGAACATGTTTATTCCTTGCAATTTCATTCCTAGCTCATGTAAATATCTCCACTCTGCCTGAATGAATCTGCCTCAGAAAGATCAGCTCTGTTCGCACATCATATTGGTTTCCCCCGCACCCAACATCCTCAGAATCTTTGCTTTATGCCCTGTTTACTGGCTGAGTTGATTTAGGCACAGAGAGTTTCTCTTGCAGGAAGATTACGGGGAAGAGCAGTCTTACCTTCCCCGTTTGTCTTTTCAGTCAGACGAGAGGACCTGCGAGGACTGGGCAGACACTGAGAGTGAATACTCCCCAACCCCAAACAGCCCCTTCACGTCATTTGAAGATGTCACTACCTCCTCTCTCTTCATTGGCAGCCTCACCACAGAAGGTACCGGTAGCTGGGAAGGGGGTGAACAGTTGGGGAGGGGAGGCTAGCCCAGGGCTAATGGGAAAGCAATAACCGTGCTCTCTGGGCACATTGCCCCAAATGTCTGTCCCTGGAGAGATTTTCCCTCCAAGGCCTAGTGGAATGACGTCATGTCTGAGAGAATACAGTTAACGTTCCCGGCCACCCAGCCCTGTAGCTCTTGGCACCAGCAGAGGAGTGGGGCAGAGAAACGAGAGATGAGAATAGAAAGGGGGACAGGGATCTAGAGGGCGGTGTCGGTCAGACCTCCCCTTAGATGGGAATGCACAGCTGCACTGCCGCCGCCTTGCACTGGGGGCATAATGTGACTGCAGAGCATCAGAAGACTCTTCTGAATAACCCCCGTGAGATGGGGCTCCCAGGCACGGCGAGTGGGTATAACCTTTGATAGAGCTGGGAAAAAAAAGCAAGTGATGCTAGACTCATCTCTGAACAGGCCCCCGCTTCTTTAGACATGGAGCCACTGAGTTGCTCCATGTCTCCTGCCATGTATTCTCCTAGTTTTGGGACTGGGGTTTTGATTTAAACTCTTCTCCAAAGCTTCCCCTTGGTGTAACCCCCGGGCTGCAGTGCACAGGGGAGAGGGCAGACTAGCTGTTGGTAGGCCTGGCGATGCAGGTCTTTGTCTTCTTCTAATGGCTGCTTTTTTAGCTCAAGCAGTAGAGAACCCATGTTCGATCTCCACCGGTGACCTTTGGCTGGCAGTGCTGTCACATCGTGGGTAATAAATCCACATGTGTGCATAGGGCCCTACCAAATTCACAGCCCATTTTAGTCAATTTCACAGTCCTAGGATTTAAAAAATCCATACATGTCATGATTTTAGCTATTTTAAATCTGAAATGTCAGTGCTGTAATTGTAGGGGTCTGACTCCTGATTCAAAAAGGATTGGGGGGGGGGTCACAGTTTCATGGGGGAGACCGGATTTCACAGTCTGTGATGTGCTTTTCATGGCTATGAATTTGATAGGGCCCTGGTCATGTGCATTACCCTCTGGTCCAAAAATGGAATTATCTCCTGTATAATAAGCCCCCAAAAAATACCCTGAGTCTTTTGGGACATTCCTGCCTGTTAATCCTATTAACACGTGGGCTGAGTCCTACTAGCAAGTATCACTTCAGTTTCACGGTTTAATATTCCCTCATGCAAAACGCTAATTAGAATCAATAGAAAGGAACATTAGTAATTGTCCTTCAGCAGTGGAGAATGGAAGGGGAGGAGAGTGCGTGGCTGACAGAGTCAACTTTGAAAAGAGCAATTAAGGAAAGGGGGAAAAAACACCACTACTGGGATGAATTTCCAAGTCATGGTTGAGTCTTGGAAGAAGAACAAGAGGCTTTTTGTGACACATTCAAGCATGAAATTAATTTGTAATCTTGGACGGAAACAAGCAGCCAGCTGCGTTAGGCAGCGAACTTTATCTGGAGAGGCAAAGCAAAACGGATCCCACCCCTTAGCATCTTCCCTACCCAGCCCGGCTCTGCTCAGTGGAGATGTTTGTCAATGCAGCTGACTAGCTGGCGTCCTGTCATTTATTTCAGCGCAGGGGGAGGGAAGGGGGAGGCGAAACAGAATCCAAGCCAAGCAGCAGAGAAATCTGGGTCAGGATTTTTGCTGGACTGTCTCATAGGTGCGCATGTCGGACAGGGAGCCTCCTATAATGTGCCTGTGTTCCCTTCCAGGCAGAGATTAAGTGGAATTGGCACTCGGGCTCCTCATGGAGTAGGTTAACATCCCTTGCCTTACCTATCTGAGCCAGCAGAGAGCTAGCAACATAGGTGATCCATGTTTCAGTAAATGGCGCAGAGTGAATGTTAAGAGAGTCTTATGAGTGCTTACTTCATTGGTGTCTGAATTTTCCAGATCTAGGCTCTGGGGAATTTTGTGTGCGCACTCATGAATCAACTAGCTTTTGCCACTCATATCCACTCCTAGCAGAAGTCTGGCTAGGTCAACACAGGTTTGGCGACAAAAGCGCTGTCAACATGCAAAAGTTGCCAAAAGTAAAAACCAATCAAACCAGTTTTTCTGTCTCTAATTGTCGACATTTCATGGCCACATTGTTAGCACCCCTGTGGACAGAAAGAGCAAAGCAATGTGGGTCTGCCACTAAGCACCGTGGGAGTGCGCAACATAGTGCTGTGCATTTTGGGAACATGAGAAAACATCCCGGGAACCACCTCTGCTTCCCAGCACTTCCGGCTTACTTTCGTGCTACTTGAATGTCAGTATTTGCTGCAAACTTCAACATTTGCCGTGAGAAATCCTGGGTCCCATAATTCTCTCCCATGTTGTGATTAATGCGCTTAAGGCATCGCGCCTTGCAGCACAGCTACTTCTGGGTTTGATATTTGACGACAACTCAGATGAGGATGAGAATGACGACGACAAATTGGCAATGCATTGGGCTATCGCAGGTCACCTGTGCACCCTAGACCATCACTTTGGGCTAGGGAAATCAGCCCGGAGTGGTGGGATCGCATTGTCATGCAGGTGTAGGGTGTAACACTGGCTACAGAACTTTCAACCATGTAAAGCAACCTTCCTGGAACTGTTGTTATGAGCTGGCCCCTGAACTGCAGCGCAAGGACACCAGAATGAGAGCTGTTCATTCAGTGGAGAAACGGGTTGCCGTTGCTTTGTGGAAGTTGGCAACTCCCGATTGCTACCGTTGGGTGGCAGATCAGATCGGAGCGGGGACATCCACCAGCAGAGCAGCACGTATGCAAATGTCAGTAAATCCCATTTGGCTGCGTAGGACTGGGGCTCGGGGAAAGGTGGATGACATAGGGGCTGGCTTTGCTGACATGGACTTTCCAAACCGTGGCGGGGCAAGCGATGGCGCACGTGTACAGTACAGTGGAGACTTGTGGAGCAGGCGCACATGGGAACAGTTTGTAATAGTCCTACCCTGGTCCACAGGCTGCTGTTGCTCTGGCAGAGCTATTACTCCTGAGGTTAGCAGGCAAACCCGGGCTGAGCTGCTGTGTGCTAGCGGGGGCATTTCAGCTATTTAAATCTGAACTGTCAGTGTTGTAATTGTAGGGGTCTGACTCCTGATTCAAAAAGGATTGTGGGGGGGAGGTCACAAAGTTATTTGGGGGGGTTGTGGTACTGCTATCTAAAGTTTTTCTTCCTATGTGTGGAATAAATGTTGTTACGTGCACCAAGGCATATGTGGATGTGCACCACCAACAGAAACACATGCTCCTTGTGCAGTTAAATTCTGTGCCACCCTGCTTCCAGCAGCGCCGCATGAGGAATGGTTTGGGAGAGTGTCATACCACGGCCGCGGGGAAACGGCAGCCCTGCCCTGGGAGCTCTGTGAGAAAACTGAGAAGTACGTCAGGCAGCGCTTCGGCACCATCACCCAGCAAGATTCAGCTGAGATTGGTGTGCTCATCGATGGACGTATCGGAGACCCAGGCAGGGCTTAGCCCGTTCCCAGAGATTCGGCCTCCATTCGCACTGCACCACTGCCCCCCGCCCAGGCTGAAAGAGCAACTTTCTGCCCCTCCGTCTGCCCGCTGCAACAGCAACTTTCCACCTGTGCTTTTTCAGTCCACCCCACCCCCATCCCATTGCAATATATAGCAATTAACTCTCCCCCCGCAATGGCCACTGTGGCCCTTCTTTGCTTGGCTACACTGGAACAACTAAACACCCTATATATCCCCTCCCCACCCCGACTGCAGTAGTGCATCTTAGCACCCCATGACCCCCTCCCTCGGCTGCAGGAGAACGACTAAATGCCATGCAGGGTCCCAACTGCATCACCCACCCCGCCTGCACAGCAACCGGCCTTGCGTCTCTTCCCGTGCGTCATGCTGCATGTCCAGTTGCTGAGAGGCCTCACAAACGTTGGGACTGGAGAAGAATTCCTCGCTGGTTGCCACCGGATTGACCCTAAGCCCTTCGTCCATTTCCACCTTGTCAACAATAACATCCCTCTCCGGGACAAGTGATTCTGATGTCTCTGTGCTATGGGAAGTACTATGGGAAGTAGTCACACTCTTCTTGGGTGTGGGCGTGGGGTCTTGTGACAGGGCATCTGCCCCACACTGGCCCTTTAAGGGGTTAAAACCCAGCCCTGGAGAAGGGCTGGTGCCATGGAGCCAACAGCTGCAGCAGATAGCAGCCAATTGGGGCCCAGCTGTGGGGAGTATAAATAAAGTCTCATGGAGCGGCGCAACTTACTCTTGCTATGGAGAAGGAGGGACCTGGGTGCTAGGGAAGCTAGAGACTTCCTGATTTAAAGCTGAGCTGGGGGAAATCAGGCAGGTCTGGGGAAGCACTGGGCAGAGTTCCCAGACTGCAGGGCCTGAAGCAGCCAGGTTAGGCAAAGGCAGTAGGTCCACACCCCTTTGCCCGTGAGGAGTGGCCATGACAGACTGCAGTTTGCCCCTGTGGCAGTGGTAGATGAAGACTGGCAGTGGGTCATTGAGGCAAGGGGGGCATATGGGGAATGGGGGTTCCCAGAGGGGGAGGACTCCATCGTGTGGGGACACTGTGGTAGGCCAGTACCCAGGTAGGAGGGTCCCATGGTCTGGGAGAGATGTCAGCCCTGACATAGAATGGAGGAGAACAAGTAACTGGGTGGGACACCAGCCAGAAGGGGGCGCACTAGCACCAAAAATGCTAATTCCCCGAGTGACCAGCAGGTTTCTTTATAGAAACGGCATGTTTTGGGTGCAGTGCCAGATGGGCTGTTTGCCTTCTTCACCTTCTGGTATGCCTGTCGGAGTTCCTTTACCTTGGCTCTGCATTGTAGGGTGTCTTGCTTGCACCTCTTCTCACACAGGGCTGGAGAAAGGAGACCGTACTTCTCCCCAGTTCCTGCAGGTCACTTGTCACTGTGATTCGCCCATTCTTCACCCCACACATGGATAAGATCCAAAAGCTCTGCATTGCTCCAAGCAGGAGAGTGTTTTGAGCGATACCCACCCCTGGCTCACTAAGACACCAAGAGCACCAATACACTATGACCCAGTTAAAGGGAAATGGATTTTTCAAGTTCCTGGGATTTGCAGGTGGGAGAGGCACACCTGTGTACCTCTCTGCAGAGCAGCAGAGTTCAAAGCACTGGCCAGAGTGGCTAATCAGGCATTGTGGGAAACATGCTGGAGGCCAATAGACTCAACAAAAAACCTGCTGTAGTACACACTACATGACTGTCACAATAAAGGCGGGGGAGAGACAAAAGTCTCATGTGGAGGTAGAAGGTTTTTGTTGCTAAAAATGGGGGGACATCGCGACTTTTGGTTCTGCCTTGGGCAGGGGACTGGACTTGATGACCTCTTGAGGTCTCTTCCAGCTCTATGATTCTGCAGCATCACAGTGTGAATGCTCTTTGGGTTTCTGGCGATGAAACTTGCAAGTGTAGACAAGGCCTCTGCTATTGCACATTGCATACAAACATAGAGCCCGATTCTTTATACATTTGTTAACATGCATAAGGCTTTCATGCTGAGAGGGCTTATTTGAGGAGCAATGCATCAATTGCCACATTCCCCGAGTGAGACTGTAAACAAAGACCCTGACATTTTATTTCACTATTGTCTTGTCTTGTTTTCTGGGTGGCTTTACCAAACTGAATGAAGTAAAACCAAACTACTCTAAACTGTAACAAGACAACACAAAGAGGCATGTTTTAGGGGTGGAACTGGTGTGGAGAACAGAACTCCCCTAAAGGGGCTACTAACTTTCCTACCTCCTTCCCCCCCCCTTTTTTTTTTCTTTTTTCTTTTGTTTCCCTCTCACAGATGACACAAAGCTGAATCAGTATTCAGGAGGGGATGGTAAGTCCTTACCCTTCAGTCAGATTCTTCCTGAGAGGGGATGAATTATGTGAAATCAAATGCCTGGGTTAATTACATGAAGTGGTTGTGTAGCCATGTCTGTCTCAGGATATTAGAGAGGGTGGGGTAATATCTTTTAATAAGATACGGCAATAAGATGGGTGAGGTGATATCTTTTATTGGACCAACTTCTGTTGGTGAGAGAGAAAGCTCAAAACTTCTCTCTCCCACCAAAATAAATTGGTCCCAAAATACCTCTCCCATCTTATTCTCTTATTCAGTCAAAGGGGTGGGCAGATTTAACGGGATGCAAGTAAGATCCACATCCTGCTATCTTCACTTGGGATACTAATACTGCCTTGGGTTGGTAAAAACGCAGAGAATTGAAACCGTCTGGTTATGCTGAAGTTGTTTGTCTGTATTTGCCCATTTCTCAGCTCTAATTAGCTGGTGGGTTTTCACTTTCCATATAATCCATTTCACTCTCTGATTCCCATGTGTTCCCACAGGTGAGTTCCAGCAGTTCAGGAGAATGTTTAAACAGCCCTGCTGTTAGTCCAGCTCTGATTCTTTCTGTTTCCTTTATGTCAGTGGTTCCCCTCCCACTAGGGTGTGTCTAGGTTACCACAGTGCTGTTACTGGGGTCTGTCCCAATGCTTCTTGCTGCTGTGTAATGAACCAGAGCTGTGCTACCAGCATCCCTAGACATCTGTGGAAGGTGTATATGCCAGGCACAAGCCCATCCCACTTATGCAAAAGTTGCTCCTAGAGGCTAATGATCAAGTCCCATTGACTCTCCTAGGTGCAGGTGTAACTCACACACCTAGCAGGTGTGGTTCTGTCCCATGGGTGGCACTTAGATCACTTACAGAGAGAGAGAATGAGTTTCTGCTCTACAGCCTTAGCTGAGAGCAAGCAGGCTTTATAGCTCAAGCACTAGAAGCTCCTGCACTAAGCTGCGGAGGTCCCAGGTTTGATTCCACCTGTCAGTGTTGCAGAGGTTTGGGCCTTCTGTAAGCACAAGGCATTTGACATCTGAGACCTTCTCAATTTCAGCCACGTTGCTTCTTGAATGTCTGGCAATGTCATTGCTCATCTGTGCTAGACTCACCCACCATGACTCTGCTGCCTCCTCTCCTCTGTGTGATTAAATATTCATGTCTGAGATATGAAAGGGAGTGTGGGTGAAATATGCTAAGGACACCAGGCAGCATAATGCTAATGAGTTTCCATCCGACTGAGCATTTGGGTACATGAGGAATATAGATTGAGGGAGCTGTTGATCACGTGTCTCTCCAGCCAAATGTTGCCATCATCTGAAATGGATTGTAGGATTCAGGAATCCCACACACACACACACTCTCCCCGTCAGTGTTCCCTGTAAGCTGAGCATTTGAGTGGCCATGCAGGAGAGATTCAAATGCTGCCCAGCTGGCTAGCAGAGTGCCCATAGCCAGCAGTGTGTGTTTCTACTGGTGGTGCGTATGCCATGGTGCTCATAACAAAATTTATTCTGCACATGGATGGGAAAAAAAATTATTCTGCACATGGATGGAAAAAAATTAAAGGGAACACTTTGCGGGAGGACAATTTGCTTCATCTGAATTATTTTGGGTTTAAAAACTCAAGAGCAGGATATGAAGAATGACCTGTCTTGTAGGCATCAATAATAAGAATGACTGTAGGTGAGTCCCACGCACAGCACTGGAAAGCCAGTACGAGACTCCTTCGGCTTGAGTCATGGGCCTCTTCTAATGGAGCTAATAGAGAGCTGCTTGACAGTCATAGTAGCTCACTTCTGCTCTCTATGAGCCAGCCTCACCCTCAGCTTTACAAGAACAGCATCCCTGGAGGAATGGTCCCTGGTTTTCCTTTCCACCAAGCTGCCCAACTCTGCCAACACAATGCACAGGGCAGTCAAGAAGTGTGTCCTATGTAACAGTATATTCAATACGCCTGACCAGTGACCCGTGGGCGCTGTATGCACGTTACCATTTCATCGAGGATGAACACGTCCAAAGTCCTCTTTCCCCACCGTGCTGATTCAGCTGCGCAGCTTTGAGCTCTCTAGTGCAGTTGTTTAAGCCGATGGGACAGAACTCTCCCTTCGACTTAATTAACCCACCCTGCTAAGCAACAGTAGCTATGCCAGTGGGAGGAAACTCCCCCACCAGCATAGCGCTGTCCACACCGGTACCTAGGTCAGTATGATTTACGTGGCTCAGCAGGGTGGCTTATTCACACCCCTGATTGACACAAATTCTAGTGACAGAAGTGATGGTGGGGATTAGGGATGTAATAGAGTAGCCGGTTAAATGATTAACCAATAAGCAGATGCTTATCCATTAATGCTATTGGCTACACACATCCCCCCACCGGGCAAGTACATTTTTTAGCAAACTGTCCAGCAGGCCGGCTCAGTCCCGGCTCACACCGAGCCCTGGCAGCTACCCCCATTGTGACCCTGGAAGAAAAACTATTTAGGAGCTGGCAGACTGGCTCGGTCCCGGTTTGCACTGGGTTTGGCCACTACGTCTCTACAAGAAGAGTTATTTAGGGGCCCGGGCTCCTAAATCATTTTTCTTGCAGATCCACAGCGGGGGTAGCTCCCTGGACCCAGTGTGAGCCAGGACTGAGCCATCCTCTCTGCCCGCCAACTCCCAAGCTACTTTTAATGCAGAACCGCTTATTGGGTAAACGTGTATGTCGGGGGGGGGCAAGCAATTCTGGGCAAAGAGCCAAGATATCAGTGGATCCAGCGCGAAGAGCCGGGGCAAAGTTGTCAAGCAAAATAAAAAAAAAGGACTGCCCCTGAAGCCTCTTTAAAAGGAGCCCCCGGTCACGTTCGGTCGAGCAAAAAAAAAAAAAAAAGCTCTGCTCCTTTAAGAAAACGCGATTTTGGCTTTTTGGCCACATCAGACTCCCACTACCCGCCACCATGTTTAATTCTCCATCTTTAATGGCCGCGCCAGATGGCTCCCCTGCCCAGGTCAGCACAGGGAGCTGGGAGGAGAGGGCTGTTTTTGGGGGTGTGGGGGCAGCTTTATGAGCCATGGGGGGGGGGCTTTGTGAGCCACACCCTTGGCGGGGGAAGAGCCACATGCAGCTCGCGGGCCACAGGTTGGCCACGGCTGGTGTAGCCAACAAAATATATTTGTTGGCTACAGGGTTACTGGATTACATGCAATTTAACATCCCTAGTGGGGAAAAAGCCTCAGTCTCTCCCCTTGTTCCGAGTTCGGTGTGCTTTCTCTGCCTCTCTGGCCATTTATTGCGCTAGGCCTACGTGATCCCAGCCATCCTCCCTCCATTCCCACCCTCTCTCACAATCCCTTTTTCAGGAGTGAGCAATGACCTTCCCATGAAGACAGCCGGAACCCCGATTCACACCGGCACCATTGTGGGGATAGTCCTGGCCGTCCTGCTCATTGCAGCCATAACCCTGACTGTGATTTACATCAGCAGCCACCCCACCTCCAACGCTGTGTACAGACCTCCTGCTAGGCCGGCTCTCTCTTCCTGTGCTGTTATCAACAGAGGAGCAGCCGCCAGGAATGAGGGCGACGTGCCCCCATCTGCCGGCCGTTTGCTCCCCTGTTGAGGAGATTCCAGCACGTGATGTCTACACTGGGAAGATGTGGCAACGAAGCTGCTGCCAACCTGCAAAAGTTGCCAAAAGTGAAAAACGATAAAAACGCTTTTTCTCCCGTTGTCGACATTTCATGGCCAAGTTGCTGGCTCCCCTCTCAACAGAGCAAAGCATTGTGGGGAAGCATCCCGCAGGGCAGTGTGGTGGGAAGGCAGAGCCGATCCCTGCCCTTCTTGGGATTCCCTTATGGCTCTGGGAGCTCTCCATGCTGAGGAATGTCAAAGCAGCACAGCAGCCTCTCCAGCCCTCCCCCTGCAGCAGCAGCCTGCCCGCCGCTGGGTTCCTAGCAGGGCAGAACAGGAGCACTCCAAAGATTTGTTCCTTGTTTGTTCTCCAAACAGAGCAGCTCACTCCGCTGCCAGATACTTCTCAGAGCTTTGAAAGGGGAGGGGCACAGCCTGCAAGGCAGCAGAGATCCCAAAACACTGAGCACAGCCATCAGGACAGGTGTGGGGTATGGGCAGAAGCCAGTTCTCTCGACAAAACAAACAGCAGAGTCCACGCTGGCTCTTTGTTGACAATAAAGGGAGGGGAAAGACAAAAGTTTCTTGCAGGGCTGGAAGTTTTTTGTCACCAAAACTGGGTGTTTTTCCCGACAAGTCGCATGGCAGTGTAACGCTCTGGCTGTTTGTCGCCAAAAGGCAGTTCGGGGTGACAAAATGTGCCAGTGTAGACAAGGCCTACCTCAGTGGACTCTGAGGGCTGATCCTCAATCAGCATGGTTCCACTGACTTCAGCAGTGCTACATAGCTCTAAATCTATTTCCTTCCCTTATGAGGATGTCTAGCCTCAGCATTCACGTTGATTTGTGCCGCCGGTACATGCTGAGCCAGGTAGTTGGATGTACTGAGCTGTGAATATGAAAGAGCCAGTTTACCTCCAGGTACAGCTGCCCTTAGGGAATCCTCAACTTCTGGAGCAGGGGAGGGAATTTGGGCCTCTCTCCTCTAGGGCTTGGGAGCCAGCCATGCATTTAAAGTTACACTTTTGTTGCCGTCTGAGTCCTGTGAGCAGGCTTGTTTCAGATACATTTCAATTAACCTTGCTGCCTTGCACTTACACGGGGTCTGGAGAAGCAGAGAGAGGAGGAACAGGGGGCCTTTGATATATTTCACATCTAAATGTTTCTTTTCATGGTCCTACAGTCAGAGCTAATCTTCAGCTTCCAGCTGTTGATGTCTGAAACCCGGGTTCTTTTTCTTTCACACCCAGCTTTTCTCTTTCACTCTCACCCACAGACTCTTTCAGGTGCTCTCCCACATTTACTCCGACATTGTTTCTCTCTTTCGCACTCTCTCTGACAGTGCACACACATTCCAGCTGGCCTGGAGCTGTAACAAAGGCGAGATTGCTACCTTGTGAATTAGATTTGGGAGATTAAAACAGTTGGGCTTTAATAATAGCTACTGCTCCATCCCGGGGGATGTAACTGATGGTGTGAAAGTTTTTAATGCAGATTTTTAATTTCCAAATACTCAGGGGCTGTGAAGTTCTGTTACTCTCTGCAGTTTGCAAATGACTCCTTAGCTTTCACCATGTGGCACGCTCCAGGCAGCACTAAGGGCTCACTGGGGGGAGCGGGAGCAGTATGACACACTCTGGGTGGTGCTGAGGGCTGGTTGCACCCAGCCCTGCCCCTTCCGGGAGTTTAGAGGCTGCTGTCCCACTTGCCCAGGGGCCTGGAAAGACTGTCAGCCCCTTCGTGTGACATCTTGTGGCCCCTTCTACCAAAACTGAGTGACTCACAATGATTTAATGTATTTATCCCTACAACTCCCTTCTCCCCCAGCCAGGGCAGGTCAGAGCTATTATCCCCATTATACTGACAGGGCACTGAGAAAATGGAGGCTAAGGCCCAGATCCACAGAGGTGTTTAGGCTCTACGGCAGTTTCTTAAACTGCGCTTTGTGGTACACCGGTGTGCCGCAAGGCAGTTGGAGGTGTGCATTGGAGAACAACAGAATTCAAAATGGCCGTCCTTAAAGGCGACCTTTTTCTTTTTTTTTTTTTTTTTGCTCTGCTCAACAAAAAATCCTTGGTGTTTCCCATAAAAAAAATTATTGTTTGATGTTCCTCTGTCTTAAAAAGTTTAAGAAACACTGCTCTATGGGATGTGGTCACAGAAGCCCCTTGGGATTGTCCCTTGCGTGCTGATCAGGCCAACAACGTCCATCTTCTTGGTCTCTGGGCTCCCCACCACCCTGTCCTGCTGGGCCAGATCCTCTGGTCTCCCCAGACAAGCACGGAGCTGGGGATACCACCCTCCCCCCAGCAGCACAACGCAGACACTGAACCACTTCAGCTCTGGGAGGACTCGGTTCTAGGGCACAGCACACCCAGGAAACCAACCCCCAAAAGGGATCAAACCCCCAAATAAATCCGTCTTTGTGTAAAAGTTTTACAGAGGAAAGGTTTATCAGGTAAGTTCCCTTTGTCAATGGAAGAGTGGTGCACAGTGGTTGCTCCACCCCAGGTAACAATTATTTATACTGGGCGTGATAGTAAACAAAAGTGTTTTTATTAAGTACAAACAGCAGGAGGTAAGTGGGTGCAAGGGAAAACAGACAGATCAAAGTAAGTTGCTAAATTAAAATGAAAAGAAAATGCAGAGCTAGTTCTAATTCTCTAAGAAATGTATTGCATGAATGCGTGGGGATGCCAGGCTGTGAGGGGGCGGGGAAGATGTGTGTGTTGGAGCACGAGGGAGTGAGGGTTCTGGGCAGTTGTGTTGGAGCTGTAGGCAAGGGGGAAATGGGCAGAGTTGGTGGTGTGCAGGGGAGAGGTCTGGCGTGGGGGCTCTGGCCACAGAGAGTTGGCAGAGTGTGTTGAGGAGGAGAGGAGGAGATGACATGGCATGGGCCTGCCCTATGCCCCATTGCATCTGGTCGGCCCGCATTGCCTCCCTGCACTTTGTTCCATTCTCCCCATGGGGGCCCACAAAAGGTTAATCCAGCCCTGCTTAGTATAGATCAGGGGTGGGGAACCTTTTTTGAGCTGGAGGCCACTGACCCACAGAAAAATCAGTCGGGGGTTGCACACAAGTGACCCTCACTAACAGGGCCTAACTGAGGAGGAGAAAGACACTTCCCGCATTCCCCTCGTGCACCACGACCCCGGGGGGTGTCCAGGCTAGTACATTTTGTGTGCTCCAGTCCTGCAGTAGGCATGGGCTCCCCAATGCTAGGGGCGGAGCCCTGAGCCTTGGGGGCCAGATCCAGGCAAGCCAGGGGTCACATCTGAGGTTCCCCAGCCCTGGTGTTGATGTTGCCTCAGTTTTTCATGCGGTATTGTCCCAGCACTGGGGGATATGAATATGTAACCTAAGTGACCACAGATCTACAAAAGCCAGCTGCTTAATGAAAGTAGGTCTTCTCCTAAAGGCGGAAAAGGAGGATACTCCATGTCATAAGGAGTGATCTCTTAAGGCAGGAAGTTGCCTTATTAATAAGGATGGGCTCTTGTACAGGATACATGTTGCTTTTTCAGGTCTGGGTTGCAAACTTCCCAGCATGCCCCCCAAATTAAAGCTTCTTCCTTGGCTTTTAACACACTTATGTCTTTGTCCACAGCAGAGACCACACCATTGGCCAGCCATGAAGTTCCGAAACCACAGCAACCACACCACCTACTCGGAGGTGGAACCTGCTGGCCACGAAAAGGAGGGCTTTGTGGAGGCAGAGCAGTGCTGAATGCATTCCTTCTCCTTCCCTGCCCCCACAACCTCCCTTGTCTTCAGGGTTAGAGTCTCCTGTTATTCTATTACAAACTATGTCCTCTATCTGGAAAGAAACAGCAGCCAGAAGAAAAAGACCCGATGGAGCATTGAAAAAGAATGAATCAGGGTAATGCAAGGCTTGCAACTCTGCAGGCCTCCTCTGGGAACAGCAGAGGCAGTGTGGCTGGCCTACCTGCAGCAAGGCACCAGAGCCCTGCGGG